GCCAGGCCGACATCGATGCGGACGCCGGGAAGCAGCTCGGCAGCGCCACTGAGAAGCCCCAGAAGGTCGCGGGGCTTGAGGGCGAGACGTTCGATGAGCTGCGAGAGACGCTGCGCGCGAAGCAGGCCGCCCTTCGCGGGCAGATCACACGCGACAAGTCCCTGGAGACGCGGCTCCAAGAAATGTCTCCCCAACACACCGAGCTGGCACGCGGGCGGGAGCGCCGGGCTGAGGTGGTCAGCGAGCTCAAGCAGGCTTTGGCCGAGGCGCAGAGGGCTGTCGCCGACGGCGAAGGTGCGCTGCAGGCTACAGCGAAGGAGATTGCCGACCTGGGTTCTGAGCGCTGCCAACTGGTGGCGGGCGCGCCGACGGCTCCGTCAGGTTCGGGGTCGGCATCAGCACGCGACGGGGGGCTCAGGGGCCTCACGATCGAGGAGCGCGGCGAAGCGCTCCAGAGTTTCGGCGGCAGCCCCGAGCTGGCACGGAGGCTCCATGAGTGCCTGGCAGAAGCGAAGGCAACCGAAGAACTACATCGCGCGCAGCAGCGGCGCGCAGGCGAGGAGGCCAGGCTCCAGCAGCAGCAGCAGGCTGCTCAACATGCTGAGCAGGAGGCCAAGGCTGCTGAGGAGGCTGCGGCGCAGCAGGGTTCTACGAAGGCGGCGGGGCAGCGGTCGAACTGGGAGCAGGCTATTCCATCGGAAGCAGGCGATCCCAAGATGGCGCGCGAATTCCTTCAGTCGGTCCAACAGGAAGTCCCCGATGACGAAGATGAGTTGCGAGATGTGGCGAAGCGGACAGGAGTGGTGCTGGCCTCGTTTGCCAAGCGGCTTAAGGTCACTTAGAGGTCGCAGCCTCGCAGTCTCCTTGATGTTGCGCGCGTGCCACTTTGTCATTAGCATGACCCTCATTGCCACAGTCGACTCTACATCATTCAACCCTTTGGCGCAGATGTTCGAGGCTGATGGTCCTGTGCTGAACGGCCTGTCATGCGCGCGCCGGAGCATCGCCTCACTGCGGCCATGGAGGCTTTCAAAATCGCATGAATGTCGTCGGCGGCCACGGTAGCTGGCCGCCCGCTGCTGAGACGGGAGCGGGCGCTGGGACCAGCCGGGGCGCGGCGGCCATTGCGCCGAAGAGAGTGCAAGTCAATGCAGGCCCGCTGCCCGCGGAGTCGAAGGGGGTTCGGATTCAGGAGCGCGCAGTCTCAGCTCTAGCGCACACATGGTTCAAAGGTGGCTCTGCGGCGGTGTCCGCGCATCTCTTTGTCAATGAAAGCACGGGGGAGCAGAACATTTCTCTGCTGACGGCAATGGGGCAGCAGTTGCTGAAAGTTCGTGCACTCGGCAATGAGTGGATTGACGCTGCCAACTTCAACATGGGTCGTAGTTTGCTGGGGCCATGGGCGGCGTCGGTTGGAGAGGCGATTGTCGCGCCCTCCTCTCCGACTTGTGTCCGAAGCACGCCTGGCACTACACTTGGTTATTTCAACATGTCAGAAGGATTCGCAGTGCGTCCGGGATCAGTTGATGTCGAGCATGCGGCTGCCATTTGGCCTCGCCGCCCTGCGCTGACGGGGGCCAAGCCCAAAGAGACGCCGATGTGGTGCAGTGGCCAGACAGCCCCGCTCTACCCCCGCGCCGGCGACGCCAGGCCGCGGGCGATTCCCGCGCAACCGGAGGGAGTTTCACGACAAAGTGCGGGGAGCGTGGACAGCAGATCAGCTGGCGGAGTTTTGGAACATAACGATCCAGGGCATCGAGACTGAGCTGCTCGACGGACACGACATCCTCGGGCCACGCAGGGCTGATTATGAAGGTCGAGCTTGTGAGCGTCAGGTTCGGCGGCAGGAGCTCCGCGCGGTGCCGCGGCACCGTCAGCCTCGGCCGTCTTGTGAATACGCAGCGCGGAGTGCCGCGGCCAGGTGGGCCAGGCATCCTCGCGGCGCACATGCCGCGCTGGCGCCCTGCATCCCCAACCTCGAGGCAGACCAAGATGAGCAGCCGAGGCGCCTCAAGAGGGTCGCGAAGGTGCTGATGGACACGGAGGCGCTCCTGCGCAGGATCAGGCAGCTCGACTGGGTGATCGCGCACCTGGACGCGCTGACGGCAGGTTTCTTCCGGGCTGGAACGGATGTGATAAGTGATCCGTCCACTGCAGACCTCACCGATCGAGGAGGCCGCGTTTTTGGCGAGCAAAGAAGACGCCTGGAGATCCTGGGTCCGCGACGCTCGTTTGAACGGGGCCAGAGCGGCCCATCGTTTCACCGAGGTCCGAGGGATCCATGAGGTGCTCACTGAGGAGCACAGAGTCCAACCTTTCGAGCTCGCCGACACTTGTCGCGAGTGGGCCCACGTTTGGACCACTCACAAATGCGACGAGCAGGCGCTTCCGAGCGATTCGAGGGATTGGTCGAACCTGACGCCGACCGGGGTCTGTGAGTTAAGGCGTGCGATCGCAAAGTTCCCCCCAAGACGGCGGTGGGATTCTGTAGGATTCACCCTCGGTCGATCCAGTATCTTCCCAATGAGATGTTGGAGGCGCTGGCTCCTCTCCTCGCGCAAGGCGAGCGTGCGCTCGCATGGCCAAGCAAGCGTTTAGCTGGCCGACTCGTCAGGCTGCCGCAGCACGATGGCGGCGGCCACCGTTGGATCGCCATTCTCAACTCGATTCTGCGCGCCTGGCGCAGGGTTCGCCGAGCTGTCACCAAGTCGAGCTCAGGACGCTGAGGCTCTGCGATCCCCGACCGACGTGCGCGGGGCCGCCTGGCTGGCCCAGCTCGTCGAGGTACCAGGGCTGGAGGGCCTCGCGCCCGCGCCGCAGGGGGGGCAGGCCCCCGGCCCAGAGGCGGCGGCCACCAGCCCAGGCGCGGGCGCTCTCGCGCAGCCCCGCGAGCGAGGGCGCGGCTGCGAGCAGCCCTGCAGCCACCGCACAGTGGCTCACGAGCCAGGACACCAGCTCGCAGTGGAAGGTCCGGAGTTGCCGACCAAGGACCTGCGCGGGGCCTCGTACTTGTCGGGCTCCTCCTTGACGGCGCCGCTCGGCATGCGCGGGATGGCGCGGCCCTCGGCGAAGCCCATGAGCTGCTCGCGCACCGAGGCGGGGGGCAGGCGGGGAGTCGCACTCGCGAGTTTGGGGGGGACTGGGAAGAAAAGGAGCTCGAGCGATTCTGTGTTCGATTTAAACCTCTCAGCTGAGGTAGCCAGGGCCAAGGGCTGGCACTCCGTGGCTCTCTTGATATGGCGAAGTGTTATGATATGATCAAGCTTCCGGTATTGTGTCAGATGTTTCGGCAAGTTGGATTCCCGCTCAGATTGGGGCGGATGGTGACTCAGTCGTACGTGGCCCCTCGCAGGATTGACGCGTTCGGTTCCTTGTCCGAGCCGCTTGTGTCCGCCCAAGGGATCGCAGCGGGGTTTTTGTTGCTGCCACGTCCATCATGCTTGGGGTGTTTTTGCAACCAGTGCGGCTTGTCATCGAGAGGTTCCCTGTTCAGGCGCGTGCGTTGATGGACGACGCGTCGCTGTATTGGTCAGGCCCCGATCCTGAGAAACGCATGCAGGCGTTTGCTGCTGCGCGCGAGCTGTGCCACCAGGTGCGGCCGATCGGCCTCTTGCTGCAGCCCAACAAGTCAGGTTTTGTTGCCACCAGTTCGGCCGCGTCCAAGCAAGCATGTTGGAGCGTCGGCCAAACTCTTTGGCACGAGAGGCTTTGCGCACATGAGAGACCTGTGGCACGACCTGTTAGGCAGGAAGGCGGTGCGTAAGATTGAGGCCAAGAGGCGGCTGGCCCTGGTCAGGCGTAAGCACCGTGTACAGGTTCTGAAAGAGACGGCTGGCACCAGGGTTGCTGGTCTGCGGCGTACAGGCCTTATGCCGAGCGGAGGACATGGAGCCACTAATGAGACTCTGCGTACGCTGAGGGCCTTAGCTGGGGGCCTTATGGGGGCGGGGAGAGTTTCGCACGTCACGGGCTTTCTGTTCACGCATAAGGACCCCAGCTTTGACCCCATCGTAGACGCTACCACCCCCCTAGTTTTCAGGTATTGTTGCTGGGTTTGGGGTCGGAGGACGCCCGATTCAGATCTGCGTGCGGCATGGATGGCCGCTCATTCCCGTCTCGATTCGCGCCCCCACTGGAGTCGTGTCCAGGATTCGATGGGAGCGGTGTTTTTGTGAGTGCGCAGGGTTGGATGGAATTTGATATCACACCACCAGCTCAGAAGCGACCAAGGAGAAGTTATGCCTCTGTTTACCACGTGCCCGTGGGACGTCAAATTGAGAGGCTGCGTGAAGGTATCGGCTGGGCTCAGGTTCGCCAGATTTTAGAAGCCATCCCAGAGGCCAGCGGTGACGAGCAGGTCCGGGGAAGAGCGCTGCGTCTTGGGATCTTCTGTGCAGGACCCAGCCAGGCAAGGGCCTCTGATAACTCTGATAAGTGGCAAGCTTTGGCCCCCTGCCCACAAGCATCAGTATGGACTGTCGTTTAGCCCCAAGCGTGAATTCGGATGCGATGCGGATGGCACCGTTGGCCACCAATGGTATGAGTGCAAGGTGGTCTGGGAGCCCAGTGATGACCCAGATGAGGCAAAGCTGTTCCCAGACGACATTCTTGAACATGCTAAGCGGCTGAAGGATTAGGTGAAGGGTATCCCTCCCGCCTTAGACACTCTTGAGTTGGCGTATGGTGTTCCTCTCTTTCCTCTGCAGATCGCGCCTGTCCCAGCCAGATAATTTCCCAAGCTGTGGGTGCTACGCACTTGCCATGGGGATTCAATGTTTTTTACCGATGGTTCTGGTTTGGCCAACGGTCTACCCGAAGCGTGTCGCTGCGGGTGGGCTGTGGTGGAGTTGAGTCATGGAGGGTGGCCCATACGGGCGATCTTCGGGTCCCTGGCGTGGGCTACCCAAACGGTTCCTCGAGCCGAACAGTTTGCTTGAATGCAGGCCATACGTCATGGCCCGAGAGGTGTAGAAGTGATTTGTGACCATCTGTCTGCGGCGCTAGAGGCCCAGCGCTGGTCTAAAGATCTGGCCATGAGATGTAGTAAGCACGCGGGTATGTGGAGAGACACTATTCAGGTTTACCCTGCGGATGTGCCAATCAATCTGCGGGGGCCGAACGGTCATTCATTGTCCCTGGGTGCGTGGCTGAAATGAGGATCCGTGGTGAGAAATATGCTTGTTGTGTTGTTGGTGTTGCTGTTATTGATATGGTTATTGTTGTTGTTGGCGTTGCTGTTGTTGGTGGTGTTTTTGTTGTTCTTGCTGTTGTAAATGTTGTTGATATTATTGTTGTTGATCGTTGTCGTCATCCCCCCCGCAACCCCCCCGCGACCCACCCCGCGACCCACCCCGCGACCCAACCCGCGACCCACCCCGCGACCCACCCGCGACCCACCCTGCGACCAACCCGCGACCCACCCCGCGACCACCCGCGACCCACCCCGCGACCCACCCGCGACCCACCCCGCGACCCACCCCGCGACCCACCCGCGACCCACCCCGCGACCCACCCGCGACCCACCCCGCGACCCACCCACGACCCACCCCGTGACCCACACGCGACCGATCCACATTGGTTTAAATAAAAGATCGGCGCCTGCGGCGGGCTCGTTGTATGATGTGTGCAACGTTGGCGCCTGCGGCGGGCTTCTCCAGAGTCTCGCAGACTGCCGACGTCCCCACCACCCCCATCACTCTTATCCGCATCTGCGGGGTGCTACGCCTGCCCACGCAGACCTCGACTCCCTTCTTTTTTGGTGCGGACCTCTCGAGCCGAGATCGGTCCGTGCCTACGGCGGTGTTCGATTATCTAGGGAGCATGTGGGCTGGTTTGTTTTGCGAAGCTCGGTGCCAGTCAGCACGCGGTCGCTGGAAGCGCCGTCTCCTTTCTCAGGGCCCAGTTGAGTGAGCTGAAAATGACGTGCCGTTGTTTATCTCGGGTTGCTCAGTTTATTACGTCACAGGCTGTGGCCCCTTCCATGTCTGCTGGGCCGAGCCAAAAACCCACAGCGAGGCCCGCTTTGTCCCTCCTCGCTCACAATCTCCTTGTCCCAGGTCGGCTAGATCTCCCTTCACGCGTGCTAAGCTGGAGTCGCCAGGCGAGAAATGCGAGCCGACGACACTGCATTTACATTTGACGGCGGTGAGAGCGGAGCGGCACTATGTTCTCCTCCCGAGGGAGCGATGTGCTGCTGTCTTTCTGGCCCTTCAGGAGTTGGGCTTCACTTATGATGGTCTGCATGTGCAGGCCCTTGAGGCCTTCGAGTTTCGAGGCCACCTTGTCCAGCCTTAGGACAAGTGGCTCGTCTGCCGTCGCTGCGGGGCACGTGTTTCGATCGAAGCTCCTATTTGGAGGGGCCTGGTCGCCGAGTGCCGTGACAATGCCGAGCGTGGCTCGGTGCAGTCCTGGCGCGCTGCTGCTGCGCTGTCTGGGCGCGAGGTCCGCTCGGGGGCGACGTGGCCAGCTGGCAGCGGCGGTGGCCTCGGTGCTGTCAGCTGGCTGCCGTAGCTCCGTAGTGGTCCTCGGCCCGTGCGCACGGTGCTGGGCCATCGTGCTGGGAAGCCAGCTCGTGTCCCCCTCCTCCTGGCTGCCAGCCATCATTCGAATCGGATGTTGGCCTCGGCCTGTTGTTCCCTGTTCCCCAGCTGGCCCCCTCATGTTAAACTCCTCCTCATGATCACCACTATCGGCATGATCCCTCCACTCGCCTCCCCCTCCTGTTCATTCGCCCGCCTGGTCGCACAGCTGGCCTTCCGGGACCACGCTGCCGTCCGTGTTGATCGGGAGCGAGGTGCTGGAGGTGCTCATGTTGTAGCGCCGGTGGACCTGTAGCAGAGCCAGTTCTAATATACAACGATGTCTGCATGCATGCATGCATGCATGCATGCATGCATACCTACCTACCTACCTACCTACATACATACATACATAAATACATGCATGCATGCATACATACATACATACATACATACATACATGCATGCATGCATGCATGCATACATATATACAGTAGGAGCTCGACCACACGAAACATTCCAGAAGAAACCCAACCCTGAGACCACAGGACGTCCATTGATTCTTGGTGGGAAAGTCACGCGTTCCATAGCAAAACCATCGAGAAACCCAAGAAACCCAGGGAACCCTGGAGGCAAGCAGGGTGTTTCTTGGCATGGGTTTCCACTGTACATGCATGCATGCATGCATACATATATTTGTACCGGCGGCGCGCTTCAAGCAGGGCGTACCACCTGCGCGCGAGAATTAGTTCTCGGCGTCGGCACCCTTCAGAGGGCATTTAGAGGCCAGCGTCCACTTCTCGAGCCGTAAGAACGCCCTAAATTAGAAGCGCACTTATTTGTGGCAGTTACACCCTACTTGTGCACAGCTTTATGGAAATTGTGCTCTACTTTTGTTTTAGAAGGAGGTGCGGGTGACCACAGATCTCTACGACAACAGTTTTCATTCGCGGCGATAGCGGGCGTTATGGGGGGGAGGGGGGGGGCGGCGAAGGGCATACCGCAACGCCCCCGCCCCCCCTGACAGACCGTGGTGCCCGACGCACTGCGGCAGTGCCGGGGACGCACAAGGGGGGGAGCGTTACGTTATGGGGGGGGAGGGGGGAGGGGGGCATGACGCGCGTTGAGGCCCAGAGGGTAAAATAGCGCTCTCTACACATCACCTCGACCTGCAGTGTGAAAGGTCAAGGCAGCCGTGCTCTACCTGCGACGGCCCATGACTGCGCAATGGACAGGAGCGAGCCTCTCAGCGCAGCACTTGCCATCGCTCGGAAGTCCATTCTCCGTGCATACGTGTCGGTTTCGTGAGTTTTCCCCTTGACGAGGAGAAGGAGGAGGAGGAGGAGAAGGAGGAGGGGGAGGAGGAGGAGGAGGAGGAGGAGGCCCCTAGTTAGATAGTCCAGATTTCCTGGCGCTGGCCTCGTCGCGAAAAATGCACGCGCCCCACCGATGCCAAGAGCAGAGATGCGCGCGACCTCCTGCCGCACCTCCCCCAGACCTCCCAGGCGTCGCGGCACGGCTGCCGCTCTGTCCCCACACCCCAGCCACCTGCCTCCTGGAGTCTTCGCAGCCACGGCCAGCTTCCCCTTGTACTTGTGATCGAAAGGCACCCCAGGAAGGGGCGCCGTCTTGGGGAGGGGCCGTGTGCAGGCCCCAGGGCCATCAGAAGACGACGCGTGGCGAAAAGCTGGTCCCAGGGGTGGCATCGAGCGCTCCGGGGCACAACTTCGACAGAAAAACTGCCTGGCGAAGGGCCCGAAACCCCATGCGTCTGCTTGCGCTGCCAGGCGTGGCCATCTCATCGTGTGCTCCGCGCTGCCAGGCCCCCGTGAGCGCTGAGCGATTCGGGGGTGCGCCGAGATGAGCACGGGGAGGCAGGCGCGCGCGCCCACGGAAGCCGTACGAGGAGCTCCCTGTGGGGGCGCGAGGCGGGTGAAGGGTGTGCGGAGGTGGGCGTGCCGCGGCACGCGCGCGCGTGCGCGCCCGCCGGGGCACGAGCTCCCCGCGGGAGCACGAAACGCACGAGGGGTGCGCCGAAATGGGCGCGCGCCGCGGCGTCGACACGCACGTCGCCACGGGCGCGCCGCGGCACACGCGCGCGCCCACACCGAGGCTGTGCGTGGAGCTCCAGGTGTCAGGAGGCAGCTGCTGGGAGGTCTTCGTCGGAAGGAGTAAAGAAGATTAAGCCCCATAGGGGGGGCTGCTACACCAGATTAGGCCGCGGAGTAAGCGGGATCAAGCCGGATTACGCGGGATTAAGCGGGATTAAGCCGGATTAAGCGGGATTCAGCAGGATTACATCGGGATTCGGGCCAGGGCAAAGTCAGAACTTAACCTCCCAGGAGTTGCACCAGAACAGGTGGGGGCACGACACGCGTGAGGGGTGCGCCGAAATGGGCGCGCCACGGCAGACGCGCGCACACGCTGGAGCCGCAAGTGGACCTCCACTGAGGAGCGCGAAACGTGTGAGGGATGTGCCGACGTGGACGTGCGGGGGAGCGCAGCGGCAGGGAGACGGGGAGGGCGGACGGATGTCACGCTCGTCGAAGCGGTGACTGAACGCGAACTGGAAAGCCAGAGAAGCTGCATGGCTCTGTCCCGGCCGCCCAAAGCAAAGGGCAGCCGAAGGGACAGGTCCCAACGCACCTCATGGCCCCAGGAGAGGGACGCACGGCGCTGCGGACTCAAACAACGAGAGCCCGACACGACGACACGGGAGGGCCGAGAGCCACGGCATCGGAGGGGGCTGGCTTCTTCGGACCACCAGCCAGGCCTCCAGCGGCCGATCGGGACGATCTGGGCACCAAAAACGACCATCTCGAAGACGCGCCACCCGGAAACTCCCGACGACCGCCGACGACGACGTCCGGGCTCATGCTCGCTGGGCACGCAGTCCTCCAGGCTCTCGCCCCTTCCCCCGCCACGGCTTCTCTGGTTTAGGCGGTCGACATGATAACCGTGCCCCTGCTCGCGTCCCGACCCCACGAGGGGCAAGAGCGGCGGCACGGACACAGCCACGTTTGTGATCCATGCCCAAAGGGCGGCAGCAGCAGCAAAGGTATGGGTCGAGCGTCGATAGTCGACTTCTTCTGAGCGCCTCGCCAGGCACGACTCGCTCTTGCACTCCGCGGCTGGCAGCACCACGTGGGCGGAGCCGGTGTCGAACACCACGCGGAAATCCTGGGCGCTCGGCCGCCGCTGGACGCACTCTCGTCGAGCGCGCGTTGCCAGCTCACTTGCCCCAGAGTGAAGTCGAAGAGAAGGGGCAGTACTCATCATCATCCCCCTCCTCCTCCTCCTCCTCCTCCTCCTCCTCCTCCTCCTCCTCCATCCTCCATCATCATCATCATCATCTCATCATCATCATCATCATCATCAATCATCATCATCATCATCATCATCATCATCATCATCATCATCATCATCATAATCATCATCATCATCATCATCATCATCATCATCATCATCATCATCATCATCATCATCATCATCATCATCATCATCATCATCATCATCAGCATCATCATCATCATCATCATCATCATCATCATCATCATCATCATCATCATCATCATCATCATCATCATCATCATCATCATCATCATCATCATCATCATCATCATCATCATCATCATCATCATCATCATCATCATCATCCGTAGCCATTTTGGCTCAAGCTGTTTCTCCGGACTTTCGCAGGCGCCCACGCGCAGCGGTCAGCGGCGCGCGACTGGGAGATGAGCAATGGCGACGGGGGGCTGCCCGCAGGCGCGATGGCGGGGCGGCCCACCAGGCGTGGCAGTGCGCTGCGCAGGAAGGAGGAGGCCGAGGTAGGCGCCTCGGCGGCCCGCCGACGGGCGCGGGCGCGGCGCCTCCTCGCCGCCACGGCGGCAGTCGGCAAGGCGGCCAGCGGCGGCCCAGGTTCCTGGCAGGACCGGGAGGCTGCTGCGCGCCCCGCCTTGCGCCGAGCCGCCGCGGGACGCCGCGTCCCAGGCGCAATGCGGCGGCGGCGGAACGCCGCGTGGCACGCGCTGCTGGTCCCTGCGGGCGGATTCGCGCGCGCGTCCGTAGCGGGCCTTTCGCGGGCCGCCGCAGGCCCCCGCCTGGGCTGGCTGCCCTCGCTCCCGGAGGCGGCCGCGCTGCCCTTCGGCGACTACGGTGAGGTACCCGACGAGCACTGCCAGGCTCCCGGTGCCATGGACTGCCCAGTGCTGGGCGGCGCTGCCGCCACTGATGGATGGCGGCGCCCCCCCATCGTGAGCTTCGCGAACCAGGTCGTCGCCGTGGCAGTGGACGGCAGCGTCCAGACGGAGCTCCTGGGGGGCGAGGATCACCTCGATCGCCTGCGGCGGGTCTTGCGCCAGCGGCTCGAGGCGGCACAGCGGCCCGCGCTCAAGCCTGCCGCTGCCCTGTTTGCCCCGCTGCCCGAGGTGCTCCAGGTACGGATCGTTGGCATGCTATCCCTGCCCGACAGGCTGCGGTTGTGCCAGGCCTCAACTGGGGTCGCCTGGACCTTCGAGAGCAGCCCCTGTCGGCTCGCGGAGGCGCTGGAATCGGATCTGCGGGACGCGGCGCTCCTGCAGCAGCTGGAGGGCGCAAGGCTGCACAGGGGACGCGAACGCCGACGTGGACCTGGGCCGCGGTTTCGGCTCCGACTACCAGCTGGACATGCTGAGGGGGGAGTTGCACCATCCCGCGTCGAACCGCACCCAGTACAGGGCTCTGGTCGCGAAGCAGGCCCAGGACATCCGCTCCCTACGGGAAGGCTGGGCTGCTGCGGAGCATGCGCTGCGGGACCAGCTCGCCACGCTCAGGGAGCAGCTGCAGGCGTACATCGCGATGAGCTCGGATGCGCCAGCGGCCGCGGGCGAGCACAACGACGACGCATCCGATGGCTCGCTCTCGTCCCTCGTGGTGGAGGATCGAGGTGATGATTGCGAGTTCTCCGACGGGTTCGATACTTCCGATGTCCTCCTCGATGGGACTGTGGGCCTCAGGGCCTTGCCTCCCCTGCCTGCTCTCACCGACTGCCCGATCGGTTTCAGGGCTCTCACTTGGCTGTGGGACGGCAGGGATCCCACCGACATGAGGCGCATCGCCGACGAGCTGAAGTGGGCGGCTGCGACCCCCGTTCCCGATGAGCTCGAGGGCGACACGGTGGATGTGGTTCCCGAGGGCGCCGCGGCGCCAGGAGTCCACGTGGCGATATCGAGTTGGACGACCTGCAGGCGATCATCCAGCAGCACTGCGCAGCGGGGGGGAGGCTCAGAGTCCCCCGAGGCGCTGGCCCAGCTGCTGCGGGCGACACCACTGCCCCTGCAGGAACTAACGGCGACGGGTTCGGCGACGTCGGCGGCCGATCCGTTCCCTACAGCGGCGATGGCATCGACACAGGCTTCTTGTCTGCAGGCGAGCTTCTGGAGGCGGCGGCCGCCTCGCGGTTGGCCCTCGCAGCGGCCAGCTTCCTCCTCGGGGTCCCACTCGAGGCGCCCCAGGCCTTAGACGCTCAGATGCCCGATGAGGCAATTTGCTTGCCAGTTGTTGCCGCTCTTTATCAATAATTTGGCGCTCGACACGGCCGCGTCGGTCGGCGGCGCTTCACTCTCGTGCCGAGGGGGACCCGTCGCGAAGGCTTCGCACTCGCTGGGTTCTCTCTCTGCTGGCGCCCTCGGTAGGCCGTGCACTCAGCTCTGAGCGCTGGGGTGCATGGCGCACTGATGGAGCGACCAAGGTAGCTAGGCGCACGTGCGCCCGCCCGCTGGGGGGCCTTGGTGCCTTCACGGGATCTGCTCGGGTCGCAGGCGGGTCCAAGGATCACGAATGCCTGCGCCGAGCTGCTGCCTCTGGGGGGGGAGGGACCCCGTGGCGTAGGCTGTACCCCGTGGGGCTCGGCACACGCCAGGGTTCACTCCCTCCCGCCCCTCTTGGGCAGCGTCTTACGCTCGGCGCCGTCCGCCGGCTCGCTGCAGAGCAGCCGCAGCAACGCGTCGGCGGGCCCTGGCGTTCTTGCACGGCCGTCTGATGGTCAGCCGCTCCGAGCGCCTTCGGCGCCTCCGTTTAATGTAGCCGCTGGCGCGCCTTGGGCGCGGCAGCCCGCGCAGCTTGCTGCGCTCCAGCCCGCTCTGTGCTCTGTGCCGCGCCAGGCGGAGGCCGAACCGTGGTGGTAGGCTGTGGCCGACCGTCAGGATCGCCTCCGAAAGCCACCTCAGAGCAAGTCGTCCCCGTCTGAGGCCTGGTGCCTAGGGGACTGTTGCTCTGGTGTGGCGCGCCGAGCTGTCTGCGAGCTGAGTCGCCGTGAGGGCTCGGATGCTTTGCTGACCGCCTGCCTTTGGCTGGGGCGGTCGGCGGCCTCAAGGCTTTCAGGCGATCTGCGAGTGTGCCTTGGGCACGGGTCAGGCCTTGCGTCCGCAGCGCCAGAGGGAAAGGCCATGGCTTCGGGAGGCTGTATCGAGCGGGGAGCTCCAGACCTTCTTGGATGCGTGGATCATCATCATCATCATCATCATCATCATCATCATCATCATCATCACCATCATCACATCATCATCATCCATCATCATCATCATCATCATCATCATCATCATCATCATCATCATCATCATCATCATCATCATCATCATCATCATTCTCCTCCTCTTCCTCCTCCACCTCTACCTCCACCTCCACCTCCTCCTCCTCCTCCTCCTCCTCCTCCTCCTCCCCCTCCCCATCCCCTCCTCCTCCACTTCTTCCTCCTCCTCCACCTGCTCCTCTTTCTCCTCCTCCACCTCCTTCCCCTGCCCCTCCGTAGCCAGTTGGGCTCAAGATGCTGGCTCCCCTTGGAAACAAAGCGGATACATCTGATCCGAGGCTGGCAAGGCTGTTTAGCCTCCGCCAACTGGGACACCATTGGCAGCGCGCACAAGGGGGTGGAGGGAGGGGGGAGGGCTTCTTAGAAGGGAGGGCTTCTTAGAAGCAGGGGTGCTTCTAAGAAGCCCTCCCCCCTCCCCCCACCCCGCTCTGCGCGTGGCTGACAAACTGGGGAGACCGAAAGGTACCGTTACCGCTACTCCCCAGACCTCTCCCGGGGTGCGTTCTGACCAGAATTTCGAGGCGAATCCAGCGGTGGCGGCGAGGGCCTCCCAGGAGGCCCAAAAAGGGGAAAACGGGCGAAGGGTAGAGGTACGGGTACCTTTTCCTCCCCTGACAAACCAAGCCCAGAGGCAGAGAGGAGGTGTGGACGAGCCACCAGCCACACACTTCGGGAGAGAACCCTGCACGCCACCCGGCCACGCGCCCGGCGGGGGCAGATCGGCACCGCCAGGGCCGGGCGTGGCCAATCGACCGCTCAGGTGAGGGGAGAGAGAGCAGGCCACCACACACACGCACACACGCACACACACACACACACGCACACACACACACACACACACACGCACACACACACACACACACGCACACACGCACACACACAC